TTCATGAGGTCGAGCTCAGCAATATCAAATTCCAAGCCGACCGATTCTCCCGGCTATCAACTTTCGTCAAACGTTCCCGTCAGTGCTTAGTTTTTCCCGAGTTGGGAATCTGCACCGGGAAACGAAGGTCTTCCTACGCGTTTTGTCGATCGTAGTTCCGAGATCTGACACTTGATGCACGATCATTCGCATTAATTACGTTGATTGACAGTTCCGCTGCTGCGGCGCTTGCGGAAGAACGCTGTTTAGAGAGCCGGAGTTCATTCTCGGAAATTATATCCGGGATCGAGCAGAGAATTTATCGCCACCTCTGCCAGAGGTCCGAGTGTGACCTCCAGCCAAAATCTCCTTCCGAGAACGGTGGTAGTAATCGGCGGCAATAGGGAATGACGCCGATCTGAGTCGACAGAGGCAATACCATCGATTATCCGACTTCTGTAGTTTCAGTCGAGGTCGTTCTGGAAGGACGTGAGCGAAGTCCTAAGAGCAAAAGACCGACGGGCTCCAGTCCCGACGGCTCTCGTTCCCACCAGTGGCGCAGTATTAAGCCCCTCGCGGACCAGCTCAGCAGCCTGGGGAAAGGGATGGCGTATTTTCCCCATTTCAAGTACCTACGACAAGAGTTTGTTAGGCTTTAGGCTTTAGACCACATTTCTGAGCGTTCGAATCGCATTCGTTCCGATGAAGCCCCTGCCGCCCCTCGTTACTAGAGGAAAAGATACGAGGAGGTCGGAATGGGAGTCGTTTTCCAGAGAAAATGGGGAGTTCCTCCTCCCTCGTGAGCTCCAGTTGCTCGAGAAGTCGGAAAATAAATCGGGAAGCGGGTCGGCCCTGGCCGCGATTCGCGACACTGCTCGCATCGTTCATTCTGATCATTCCGCATTTTCTCTCCGGCGCATTCTCTCGAGCCCTCATCTAGTCTTTATACTCGGTCGACGACCCTGTTCGTTTGAGATCAATATTTCCCGACAACATCCTCATTATTGAGACTCGCAAATATTTTCAAGCGACAAGCATCATCAAATTCCACGGAGGAGAAGGAGAGTGACGCATATCTTAATCGAGTCGAGAAAAACCAAGCGGAGCTCGTTCCCCCTCACCACTTGAAGAACAGAAGAGAGATAGAGAGACATCGGGCAATTCTAGCCGGAGCTTAGGGTTTCGAAGAATTTAATATGCATTTATTCTACCGTTGAACTTCCGACCGCTCCGAGTGCTTCCGAGAACCACTTTTTAATATGAGGAAACCGGGGTATGTCCGAATCCGGGACGATGTACGCATTCTTCAGCCGGACGCGCTGTCCACTGTCCTTGTTCGGGGACGTGATTCAAGTTTGTCACAATTCTTCCGATCTCAAGGGATGAATGAGCCCATAAAACGCCAACGTCCGTACGAATGGCACGCCCTCGACTGAGTGGAGAATTACTCACGCTGAGGGGAACGTTTCGAATTCACAGCAGCTCGTAGCTAGCGGATGTTCTGGTGCCATCTCGAGCCTGACTCTCACCGGAGTCCCTGCGTGGAACGCTTTCGAACGATATTCATCGCGGGTCGCAGTCGAGCCTTTTAGCGGCGATGCGACCCCCGGCTTCGTTATCGAGATCCACTCTCCTTCAGGAAAGCACTATCGAACCTGCGCCGTTCGTGTCCAGAATCCCCTTCAGGTTCTTTCAATGATTGCGTCTACGACCGACTGTCCTGCCAGCGGCGGGGAAAAACTGGATCTTTTGTGTCCTGAATCAGCCACGTAGACGCAGCCCGGCCGCTGGAGTCAACAATGCAGTTGGCTCTATTTGCATTAATCTTGCGTGAGGAATGCGGTGACTGTCGCTAACGAGTCGCATGTATGGACTCACCTTCTAACTCAATTCTGCATGCAGGGCGATTCGGGTGCCGTAGTAAACGCGCATAGTCGCTTCCGCTGACTGGTACAGCGCGTGCCTCGCTTTCGGTCCCTGTGCTCCGGGCGCGTAGGACTACGCTACGCAGGAATACGTTTCCTCAGATGGGGAAAAAATCGTCGGTGCCTCTGGAGAGTTTTCAGACCTCTGATTGAGCTGATCTATTAATGAGGCTTCCGGAGTGAGTCGTGAGTCGTGCGATAGTTTACGGCCTGGGTAATCACCGAATACAGCCCCGGAGTCATCTGTTGGGAAATTCGCCGCACCGATGATTCTTCCCTGACGAGCCCATTCTCCGCAAATGAATGGTCCTCCACTCGACCCTACTGCGAGGTACCCTGATGACAGCGACAGATAAACGGATCCGTCTCTCGGATATCCTCGGATTAATATCAGGTAAAGGACAGGTATCTGGACGGGGTTCCGCGCAAGGAAGCCCTGCATTGATTACAAGGGGACACATTGAGGGATCGTTGAGAGAGCTTGATCCGTATTTCTGATTGTATGTGTGTATTTTCTCCTTGTTCAAATCGCTCGCGCCTCCCTGAAGAATTGCGGGAAACGTACATCACATTATCGCCACGTAAATGAGTCTGATTGAGAATTGTGAAGTGACAGCGTTTCCGCTCGTTTCGCTCCCTCTAACAAAGGTCGAACGAGGTGAAGGCGGGCTGCTGCTCCGAGCGGCCTCCCTCAGATTAGGGAACACGTCGGTCGTTACTGGAGTGTTCTCTCTGCTCTGATTTGCCTAAATTACACTCTCATTTGTCCTTGGCGACTTCGGAGCATTTAAATTAAGCACTCTATTCGTCGACGAATTTTCGACAGCCCGTAGCTGAGGGACCGCCCGACGCTTCTCCACCTCATATAACACCTCGAAGGGCTGTTCAACATTCTTTGCTCACGAGTGTTTGCCGTACACTCGCCCAGACTTCGAGCAAATGGAGCAGAAGCTTCGAAACATCGTCGACTTCCAAAACGTTCCGAAACATTGCTCCAGAGATTGAAGTCTTACTCGGCTGAACTCCTCGCCGAGAGACTCCTTCGCAAAGCGAAATGAATGCGTCTAATAAAGTTCCAGGAAGGAGATACATGTCTGAAGTTCTCGATCTCATACTGCGATGAACATGGCTGAGCATGGAGAGATTCACTTTTTAGACGGAATCCCCTTCCGAGTCGGCGACGTGAATGAAGACAAGAGTCGCATTGTGGAGAGTGTGTTCGAAAAGCAACGAGAACGAGATAATCTCGCGTCTGAGAGCTGCGATTTCATTTTATTCCAAAATCCCGATAGTTAGCGAAATTATCGGCTCGGGTAGCATCGAGATCCCTCCACCAAATGCGCTGCTCGAGACGTTTATCCGAGCATACCTAACTAAGCTAAGTTCCTACCCTACCTACAGGCTAGAGATTGCCACAATAATTGAATGATTATAGACTTCGGAACGCACGTGTCCCGGAGGATATCTGTCCATCTGATCATTCCTCGGCCCCTCAATCGAAAGGCTCGCAGGATGATGAGAGATAAGCAATCGGACTACACACTCTGAGAAAACCGGCTCCGCGAGCGGATGACAGCGGCTTGATGGATTTTTTGAGCGGGAAGCAGACGAGAAAACACAGCGTGAACCAACAAGAAGGAAATGTTCAAGCTAACGTCGAGCGCTTGCGGGAACCTCCTGTAATGGGTGATGTACTTTCAAGCGATGTGAGGCAGTTTAAGAGTAGGGCTTCATCTGGGCGTCGGACGGCGGGACGATATGAGCGTGAATAAACGACGCATCATTAAAAGATCTGCGTGAGTGAGTCGGCAGCTCAGTCGGCCGGGAGCCAGATCTGGAAAATTCAGAGTACGCTCCTCAAGCCACGGAGGCCCGGCAGGAGTTGCTCGAAAGAACGCGCAGACACGCAAGTGTTCCCGCTAAGCTCCGGCCACGACAAACCCCGGTCTGCAGACTGCATTCAAGACTTCCTCTCCTGTTCTTCTTATCCGCTTTTTGCCCCTCGCTTCGATCTGTCCGTGGCGACCCGAGGGGAGACTTCCGCAAAGTGCTCCTTGATCCTCTTAGAAGTTTCCACGTACCTAGAAAATCTGGAAACGGACTCAATTTTAATAGCGGACAGCAGTGACGTCGGACTCATCGATCGGGGAAAAATCGCGTAAGCGAGGTGAGATCAGAGCCGGGAAAAACACTGCCAAGGAAGAGAGTTGCGGGTATTCGCTGATCGACGAAGTTTCGCGATCCGTTAATAATGCACTTGAAGTTTTGAAAAGATCGGCTTGTGACTAAATGAGACTCTTACATCGTTCTCGCCTGCTGGGGCAGTTCGCCGGGAAAAAACGATCTGCGGAATGAATTCCCGTTTTCCTGCTCCTGATCAGGAAGCCTCGCAATCAGAAGAATGACGAGTCCTCGGAAAGTGATTTATATTTCGCAAATCAGGAGCAGCAGTTCGGCCACAACGGGAGAAGACCTTATAGTCCCTGCTTTTCATTCATGACAATAGTCGTCCTGCCCCCATGAAGGAAAAAGTCCTTTACAAGCCTGGGGACTAATCTACCATCAACATTGTTCCCTGCCTTCGTCGGGGCCTCCGTCGATGTTTCGAATCAGCGGAGAACACGAGTTTCAAAAGCCCATTGGAGCAGAGCTTTCTTTATGAGAGTGCCTCCTATCGCAGAAATTGGTTCTGATGAATTCTAAGAGAGATTCCCGGTCCGAGGACGGGCCTCGCGACTCAATCTGAGCTCTCGACAGCAACAGCGGCACTCACTCGTTAAGATGAAAGGGCAAGCGAGAAAAATCTTCCAAAGCAAAAATCCGTAAATAAGAAATATCGTATGAGCTTGTGAGACAAAATAGCGGCGCACAGCTGAATGGAGGTCGCTAATGAGCTAATAAGCGGCGGCGGCAGCAGCAGCAGCACCTCCACCACCGGAGACGGAGGTGCTTGTATGACCCGTCGCTGGCTTGAACTGGGATGTGAGGAAGCGCTGAGTAGAGAGCTTTCGTTTTTTACTGGTTAGTTCGTCTTACCTGCTCGTTTTGCCTTTGATTCTCCTGTTGGCTCTTCTCGAAGAGGTAGTCCTGCTCTAGTCAGTCCACGCAGGGCAGCTGAGTATAGCGTAGCGAAAATCCGGCCTGACCTTCCATCGAGTTTCCGAGGGCGTCCGAATTCGATGTCACACGCATAATGAACGGCTTACTGTGGGCTGCGGAGTCGAGAAATAGTCCAGCGGAATCCCTCTGAGCTTACGGGAAATCGTTCAACTGATGGTTTTTCCCCCGCATGGAGGAAAACCGAAATATGTATTACGGGCATATTCTATTTATACGCTCTGGCTATTATGCACTCACAAATGAGGACGTTCTTCTCGTGGAGTCGATTCCCGCAGAAACGATCTTCTCCTGGTCCCATGCCGTAAGTGGAACCTTGATCTATGGTGACGAAATCGTCCTCGCAATCGGCGCCAGAAGTTCCGCTGTCGTAAGGTCTTGGAAGGGACGGACAGAGATGAATGTTGAAGCAAGACAACATCAGCCGACGCGAATAATTAAAGCCAATTCATTGGTTCTGGCCCTGTTCCACCATTAGACAAGAGCTGTCTCCCATCCTCTTAAGAAATTGGAATGGCCAAAATTGAAATTCCTCAACAAGAAAGCTCATAGCAACTGATGACATTCCCAACACGGGGCAACCAAGGTGAGTGAGATCGCCAACATCCCCGGGAGAGGACAATCAGACGCGAACACAGAGCAGAAATAGTCGGATGCCAAGCCGTCAACGGGGTCAAGGTATGTGCCGAGAAGCAGAAAGAATCCCCCTCGCCTTTGAATATGTTCCGGAGCTCAGGTTATGGTCAGGAGGTGAATACAAGAGAAGAATACTCGAGGAGAATACAAGAAGAGCTCGGTCGGATATCTATTTCCACATGAACGGGATTGGTCATTCCCTCGGGAGTGGATTTCCGGAGAAGGGGTGGTTGGGGAATAAACTCCGTATTCGTTCGTTTGGTTTTCTGCCTTTCCGACGGCTATCCGAGGCCTTCCTCAACGGAAAAGATAGGTGAGCGGAAGACTCTTGTTGCCCGCTCGGGAGAGAAGAGCCCTCCCGATAGCGATCTCGGGGGTCGGATCCTCTCTTGGCTGATTCCGGAGCGCTCGTCCTCACACCGTCTGATTAGCGCTAATTTACCGCGGCCCGAGTTCGGAGGAACTTCTCACTGAATAAAGAATCGATACCACTCCACGGTGTCCTACCTTCCGAAGCTGAACGAGTTATTGGTCTCAGTTTCCCATTTGATAGAGCAGAAGTTCTCCTCGACCCTAAGGCAAATAGAGTAGCGAGTGCTGCTGAAATATCGCACCGAGGTTCCGGTCGACTTTCCGAAATTGAAAGAGCGAACAATCGATGACGGCGAACGGAAGTACTGAAGACAGCCGGGCGGAACTGTAATTTAGGAGGATAGTCAATTGATGACGGCAATGATGAGAAATTTTCTCACGGGCTCCCGTGGCGATTCCTGATTCTCCCCGAACTCTTCTATCCGAACTGACCGATGTCCAGGCTCCCGCAAGGGATCATCGAAACCTTGATCCGCCACTTCCTGCTGTGGCTCAAGGCCCCGGTCGACACGACACTGAGGACCACGGGATTCCCAGATTGACGTCCAACGTCAACATAAACTGAAAATGCGCGACATATGAGTGAGCCGTGATGATCTTCGGCGCGCCAGCTGTTGCGTAGAAGAAGCCATGAGTACATATATGTGATCTAACGCGGTCGCTTATTGAGTTCGGGAGGACAATGCGATTCTCTCGTAAGTATATGCGTCTCGATTACTTTCGCAGATATCATCGAGAGCACTGCTTCCGCGGATCTCCGCTCGAATTGAATGGCGAATGGTGTCCTCGTCGGGAGCAGCGGAAAAAAACTCTACCCAGCTAGGACCTTCTACTAGAAATCGATTATGTGATATGGAAGTAGATTTCCGAGAGTCTCTTGTGCAGCTACTCCCCTTCGATTGCGAGAGGCATATGAGATGGTGATTGTCATTCTAGCGGGGAAAAGGCCGAATCAAATGAATACGTTTGTATTGTTGCCTCCGTTCAGGGTACACCGACAGCTCTGCGAGCGAAGTTCCCCATCGGAATCTCCAATATAATCGTGCGGAGAGTTCCACCGGCAAGGATTCCTCCTCACTATTCAGCCGCCGTCCATACTTTAACAGGATAATGGGATCCCTAAGCCGATTGTCGCCGACATGAGGGAAGAAGAGAGAGGAAATTTTCGCCAGATGGAAACGGAATTCGAAACAGAACCCACTAGTCCCGATGATTCCATTCCGAAACTGGTCGGCGGAACGCTCGTGGAAGTCCGTATCGATGTTCGGCCCGCTTCTCGTTAGCAGGTGCGTATTCCGATGGATCTCCGGAAGGGGATTCCTTGCTCTCTGATATTCGGTGCTCACCGTGTTGTCCGCTGTTCTCTCCACAGAGAATGGGCAATTTCTCTCCGACAGTGTTCCGCACCATGAAGGCGTCTCTCGAACAAACCCCCTATAGAAATAGGAAAAATATCCATCGGACGGATAAGATGGGACAGAGAATATTATTATTATGTCATTATACTATAATATTATTATATTATGAGGCATGCAGGAGAATCCTCGGAAAAATCTTCGGGAGTAGGGCTGGCCAACCGACCTTCTCGTCGGGTTGAGCGAGAGAGAATTCGATAAAGTCGAGACGAATCTGACAAATGTCCGGAGTTTTCTCCAGGGTGACATCGCACGTCGACGTTCCTGCAACAACAAGAGAAAACAAGCCTTTGTGTCGCCGAACGCCGTGTAAAACTCTTGAATTATTCAGTCGGCTCCTCCGTGTCGTCAAAGCTGGGATTCTGAGAGTGAATTTTCTTATCGATCCGGAGGGAGAAAAAATATCGCTCGCGGCATGTGAAGCGCCGCAGAGCGGGGAACGAATATCTAACCTGTTTCTCCCGCGGGATGTGATGGATTCAAAAATTCGGTTTCGTTCTTCTTGTTCGTCATTTTGCAAGTGAAGGAGACTGAAAACGCAAGGCAGTCATTCGAGAGATTATAGAGAACGACCGTGGACTCATTGATTCCCGACCATGGTTTGAGAGTCGACAGCGAACAGATAATGATCGCGCAGACGAACTCTATCGCGAGTTCTCCTCATTCGTCGGCTAACCTCTGCAGCAAACTCCGTAACCTTCGGCACACGAGCCGACATCAGTTCCTTGTTTGGCATCGCAGTCCGCCTGCGTCACACAAGTTCCGTTCTGACCGAGTTTGCCCTCGCATTCCTGGTTGCGGTACCTGGAAAGTTCGAAATGAGCTCGGAACGGGAAAGCTTTCGTCTCCATGCCATGCGCGAGAATCCCTCGGAGCAGATTATGATTTTAAAGCCCGAAACAAAGGTTCCATTCGACACTGAAGCTCGTCGCGAACGTCGAGCACGAACAAGGGCTGGAGCGCTGAGCAGTCCCCGAACTCACCGGAGGAAAGTGAAGTATCCCAGCTGCGGTCTGCTAGATTGTGCACTCACAGAGCTGAAATCACTGACGGACAGAAGGAGCACAACGGCGGCTAGACTCAACATGCTTCGAGTTGTAGTCGAATCACTATGATTTCAGTCGGAGTGAGAATCGTGCGATCCGGAATCCTTTTCCATGGGACTTTTCTTGAGAGAGTAACATCTCAGAGAGGGAAGAGTGCAAATGGAATCACGTGAGCGGGAATACCAAGAAGGCATGATGCAAATTTCCAGCCGCATCCGAGGGGAGCCGAGCGACCCGCATCCATCGTTTCTAGGTGACAACCGTCTTGACTGACTCACCAAGCGAGTGATACGAATCCGATCGATAGTAGTAGCTGGTCTTCGCGTATGATGTCTCTGGTGCGCTCGAGATTCGCTAACCAAGGACCGTGAAGCCGGTTCTGTTTCCGTCTATGACTTCAGGTCGGGGAGAAGTTCTTTATGTCTATTCTCTATTCTTTATTCGCGTATGCGGAAACGGACCACGACGACAGATCCAGATTCGGTCGGTGAGTTCCGACTAAGAAAATTCGGCGATGCCGCATCTGAAGAATTTTTGGGCGTCTCTTCTGGGTCAGTCGTTGACGGTGCCGCATGAAAATCCGAGCCCTTCTGAATCGATACGACTGGAGAGGTTAATCAGAATCTGTATCAGCCTACCAGTCGATCAATGTGTGCTCCGACGCTCGTCATCGATTGGGAAGAGGCTCATGCATCCTTCTTTTCTCACGAGCGGCCCAACGAAAACAATTCTTTGTTCGGAGCGAGCCTCCTTGAACTCGAGGGCTGCTTGAGGAATTGCATGCAAAGTGCTTTCGATCATCGAGGGCCTCACATTTTTTTCCGCATCCCCGGCGTCTCCGCCTGAATCTCGCCGATTCACATGATCTACACGCACGCCAGAGCAACGATTCAATCCGTTGCTCGAACCGACCGACGGTGCGATTCGATCGACGCCCTGCACCACGGCGATGTGTCTTGTTCCCGATATCCCGAACAAAACCCTGGCGGCCAGCAATCTCTCGGGGAAAATATCACTATCTCCTCAGTTTGACCATAAGCCGTGATCCAAGAAGCGGACAGCTTCCCTTTCGACCTCGGCGGGAAAATCTGGGCGAGCCCGAGCGAATGAGGGAAAATCTGAGATATCGCGAGCTGCATGCGGATTCTTGGACTTCTTTCCTCACGCAAAGACTTTGCGCCTTTCAGGACTCGATTCACGCTGATTGAAAGAAACTGCCTCAGATTCCAGAAGAGCTCCACTTGAAAGACGGCCGATCGTTTGAGCTTTCTCTCTCGAGCGGCATCCAGGAGGAATTTTGATCCTTGAAAAGACGAGAGTGGTTCCGCGACTTCCAGAGAAGTCTCTGACAAAGAGCTTAGGGCCTTTAAGGGTGCAAAAATCCTCGATATGCTGCGCGATCTTCCGCGGAATCGTAATTCTGTCCCCTTACCCTCGGACGGACGAGACGAGCCGCTCAGATGCTCTTCAACAAACCACGTCGAATTCGAATCTGTCGCCCATGGTGAATTCTCTTCATGAATGACTTCTTGTGAGATTAGCGGCGAGTTCTCGGCTATCCTCATTGCTGAGCGTTTTGGCACTTGAGGATTGGAGGGAGCTCGAAAACGGGGGCCTGCAAGACGGGAACACACAGGACCTTAAGTGAAGGAGACAGGACCTGCCCGAGAGAGCCGCGCAGAGCCCATGATGCTGCCATGATGGGATTCAATTGAGTCGGCTGCCCACCATTTTTGATGTTAGAGACAAAATAATGAAGGTGCCGACAGGAAAGTGGCTATCCGTTTCTCGCTGACTTAACAAATTCTGGGCCGGCTTGCGCTAGCATCGAGTTGCTTCTCCCGGCGGAACGGGTTTCCGACCGAAGATTGATTCACTTCGATAGCTTCCACCGAATCACGCTGTTGCTTGTGCTCAGAGCGGACATGTCCGAGGCGTTCGGGCTCGGTCGCTGTGTCATTGTCAGGCTGTCAGGATTTTCTTGAGAAGCCACCGACACAATGAAGCCGAGGGAGGCGGCTCGCGACATGGATTGCCTGCCTCGGGATGATTGAACTTCTAGGAGCCCCGATGCTCCGTACCACACGGGGCTATCGGGATGAGCTGGACATCAAGTGAATAACTGACAAACTTCTTATGAAGTGCTTCGGTCCAGCCCGCGGCCCGGGCATGTATTTTCGAAGATGCTCCGCACTCGTTCGCAGGGCTGATCTTGTCCAGTTTGTCCAGCAATACGCTCCACGGACTGACAGCAGGACCCACAGCTCTTCGCGACTCGACCTCACTACGTTAAGTATCGAAGGATATTGATCGAGATTTTCGAATCCATGTTTCCGCAAACGGTGAAACTCATCGGAGAAAAACTTCTCTCGGTGACTGAAGCTCTCCTCAGGAAGTTTTCAGACGACGAAGAGGAGTCGAGCGACGAATGCTAAGGAAATTCCGGGAGAATCGTACGCGGTTTCTCAGGCGACTCAAATATGATGTCCCGAAGTGTTTGCTGCCCTTTACACGACAGCGGACAAAAGCCGCTCTGGTAAGTTCCGCTCCGACCAATATATTTCGAGGGTTCTCCCCAGGCCGGAAATGTCACTTGGCGACGATCAGGCGGTGTCGCATTATGAATCTTCCCGAATATCTTGTCGCGGAACAGCGGCACTCTTCAGGTGTGTACAGTGGCGGGGAGTCGCAATATCCCGCAAGGAATACGAGAGATGCTATCCATCTCGAATGAGGTGTCTTGTTTCTGTCCCGGACCGAGGCGATGCTTCCTCCATCTGATCTTCGTCATCTGGTCGTCCCATCGCTTGTCATCGACGAGAACAGATGTGAAGCCACTTGCCCTTGTCAGCAGCAGAGGCGCGAATTACTATGGAGCTCGATGCATAACTCCCACGACGACTGACTGGCGATTCGACTGAGTTCGCGAACGGAGTGGAGAGTGGATTGATTCCGAATCGGAAAAGCAGAATTATCCGTGAGTCGCTCGGGGGGGATCGATGGTGACTGGCCCACGTCAACTGTCGTTACAACAATAACGGCTACGCTAAAAGGATTGCGTTTCAGATACTTCCTACGTCAAGCTCTCTTATCTGCTATCTCTCGTCTGCCCACGACGTATGGATGTGTCAGCTTACGCGACATTATCTGTCAATACACAATGAGCTCCTCTTCTATTGCTTTTCTGCTGTTTTGCGAGCTCTCGGCGTTTGACGCGAAGCTCGCTGGAATTCACCGATTCGTCGATGTGTTTTCTCTTTCGCCGTACGCCATCGGCGAAATTCTCATGCGGCAGCAGTCGATTTACCCTCAGGAGGGAGCCTTCGCGCGCTCTCACGGGCTGATCTCTCCTGTTGGACGGCGCGCTCAGTGCAACCCTCGAAAGAATCTCAGGGGGTCCTATCGCTCACCTGCAAGCTCGTATTTGGATGAACAGCTAGAGCCCCCTCTTCGAAAAGCAAGAACTTATACCTACAGAGAAAATTCTCGATTTTATTTCATATTTTCTCCTCGAGATGTTTAGAGGGAAAACTGGGGTGACTCGTCCCTAAATTAGCGCGCCTCCGTACCGAGGATATCCTCTCGCTTCCTGGAATTCGACTTCCCAGACTATGCAGCATCAGACCCGATGATTTCTGAATGGAACGTAAATTTCGAACAGTCGTCATTGATAATCACCAGTGTGGAACTGGGGCAGGCGACTAAGCAAGCAACCTAAATGCCTACCGCGAGTTGTCGATCAGATGAGAGCAACAATCGGCTCGAATACATGGGAGCTCGGAGGTTGAGTTCGAAGTCCGGCGGGGAGTTAATCGCGAGGGTTCGTTGGAGCGTTCGAAACCCAGGGGAAAAATTTCCAAAAAGAGGAGCGAGCGATGCGTGGGACGTCCCCACGGTGCCAAATGGCCCGTATGTCTGCAGCTTCGAAGTTGCTCGCGAGACAAAAAAGCGCGATTCTCATGGAAAGTCCTCTCCGGAGAGACGAATAGAGGAACTAGCGCATGGGAACGCAGAGGAACTCTCGTTCTACGAATCGTCCTGAGAAGATGCCTCCCAGAGAATGTGCTGCGTGATAAGCCGATGTTTCAGGCCGGACTCAATGGCAAGCGCTCTCCCTATCGGACGTTGGAATTGTGATGACGGACCCCTCGACGCAGAACGATACAATTAAAAAGAATTTCCAATCTGGGATGGGCCCGAGAAGGAGTCTGAATGAGGTTTTCCATGGAGTTTTCGGATAGAGTCCGCCTTGTATGGGCGCATCCAGTCGCGAAATTGGCTCGTTATCCATCGTTTCTATAGAAGCCCGAGGAGAGAACGCATCTGTCTTGGCAGAACTGTGCGAAACACTCAATAGGTCTCGAGCAGCAGGAGCTTTCCGTTTGAAGGGCTCCGATTTCCCGGAACATCCTCGTGCTCGGAGCTGGGACGTCCTCCGCGCTTCGAATATTGAGCCGCGATTTAATCTCGGGGGAATCGAAGTTTAGTGACGGAGTCTCGAGCGTCTTGGAATCCGAACCGAACATTGACGCCAAACTCATCTCCTTGATCGCTTGTTGACTCCCTACCGCGAGCGAGCAGAGACGTTTCCTCGATGTTGTTGCGCTGATTGATCGATGAGATGATCAGCTGCGGGATGAGATTCTCATTCGTCCAAATCGGGAGTGGGAATTGAAGACTCTCTCTATTTATTCCATCAGTGGACAAATTCACTTGCGTGATTTCCTTGCGCTAGAGAAGACCCTATCAAAACTTCGAGGAGCTCACAATCGATCGAACGTTCTTCATTGCGCAGACTTGCAGCTGCTTCAGACATCGCTCAATCCTTCACACGGGATATTCGGATTCGATGACGAAAACATGCAGAGGAATCCGACGTAGGGAGTCAGAGAGGACTGAGGTCATTCATCAACTACGAGTTAGAAGTCACAAGTCTTCGAGGCACGGCCTCGTACGGCCCGACCGGCTGCCAGAGGGGAGGCCCGAAGCCCGCTCACTTCTAGAACGGTCACTGTAGTTCAGGAGCACCGATGACTACTGC